TAACCGTCTGGTCGTCTCGTTTTTGGTTGACGGGGAGAGCGCACGCGTCTCCGACCGTAACCGCCGCGTTTGTGGTCTTAAATGTTTTTTTCGGCCTGTAATGTGTATGAACGATATTTCAATACTTGTACACCGATGATGCAGATGATGATGATGATATTATTATTATCATCATCATCGTCGTCGTACAGCTGTTTTTATAATTATTATCATTCTCAATACGGTTTTTTTTTCGTATTTTTCATAATAATATTATTATGGTAGGGGCGGCAAACTAGTTGTCTTCTATAAACGCGGCGGCCCGCACGGAAACCCTTCGTGCCGCTCTCTTCCCGCGCTCCACAAACCGGTCAAGACGGATCGCGCGCGGTCGTTTGGTGAATGGAATGTCACGTGCGATCCACAACAGCATCTCTATCTCTTTCTCACTCGATCCGTACCCATCTCTTCCTCGCTCCGTCCATCGTGTCACGGACCGACGGTTTCCACCCCTCCGCTGCGCGCGTTCCCTCCTCTCGCCCGTCTGCCCGTTGCCATACCGTAGTAGTTTTACACATGCCCATTCACAGAAACGCTCTTTACCGCTGTCATCAATGAATTCTACTTTAAGGACAACGACGATTCAATATACGTGCGCCGCCGCCGTAGAATATTCTCGAGAACGCGTTGTTGTTTTTTATCATAATTATATTATTATTATATTTTTATACTTGATTAATTTTTTACCCTTTGTCCGTCGCCGTCGGTATTTTTCATCGTCTCTCGCAACACGGACAATTATTATTATTATATACGCTATTTCCGCCCTACCTCTCTCCACACTTCTACTTTCGTATAAGTACATACACACGTATTTAATATCCTTGCAGCAACTACAGTCTTGCACGAATAATTTTTAAAAACATTTTTTTTTTTTTTTTTGTTTTAATCGACTCACCGATCAGATGACTAATAATAATAATATACGCGAGATTAAGTGTTTTTTTTCTTACTCTATGTCCGTTTAGTAAGATAACGACTTTGTGTGACTGGTCTAATCGTTGTTTAGGTATAACAACAATAATGTATTATAATAAACAACGCCTAAAATAATAATACCCACGTGCGGCGGTCGTTTAACTCGACTAGAGTAATATTTTGTTGTTTTTATTGTTTTATTTACCGACGAAAAAGTCGATTCCCAAAGATTATTATAGGTATATACTTAGTTCCAATCCTTTAGCCTCGAATTCGTCACGTTTTCGGATAGAGGGCCGTGTATATATTATTATATGTAAAAAGAGCGTCAGCACAGTCTGGTTGGTGGCGGCGACCTCTGCGCGTTGGGCCAGTTTGAAATATTGTTTTTGGAATCGTCTTCTGAATTCGTTCTCGGAAACGAAGTGAGGTGAGGGGTATCCACCTACGACTTTTGTTATAACTTATAGCTTATAAACATCGTTTAATTCGAATCTGTAGTCGGGAACGATTTCCAATCCATCGGCTGGAAACATATGAGCTGTGCCGTGCCGGAGAACACAAATTACATAATAACACGATGATCATCTATGCGTCGAATCTAAACAAAAAAATGGATAATACTTGTAATAATTGTTATCACATGGCAATTACATAACGAACGTCGTATGTACAAATAATGTAACAAAAAATAATGATAAAAATACGAAAGGTCGGGTTGCCGGTTGAAAGCGATTACTAAAAATCCAGAAGTTATCTCGTTTGTTCTTTGTAGGTTATATTTTATATGGCAATCGGTAACGTCGCCTCGTGGTATGCCGAAGTCGCAGTGACGTACATTATTATTTTGTTGGATTTTAGTGTGTTTGACAATGCGACGACGTTACGACTTACGCAATGTGATTAACCGGAACGTGCCCTAGAATATATTATTAAAATATAACCCGGGATGATAACGCGTTAAAACTAGAACCCACTAAAAAAAAACCGATTTGTTTTTATGTTTTTTTTTATTAACGTCCTTACTATACAACAGCTTACCATTACTATCTATATGCGTGACTGTGCTAAATATTCTTCCGTCATTTTTTAATGCATTGATGACCGTATTTGTGGATCCATCGTCCAGTGACTCGAGGAAGAAATCATTTTTAACATTTATAAAGAAATAGCTTCTCCACGCCTTTCTAACTTATTATATTGAATGTAGGCGGTAAGGCAAGTTAATTATGGAACAAGTAAAATTATGGTTAATTTGGGGTCGCATTTTTTTTGAAGGCCTCTGTACAACTTTTAGTGTGGTACTATAATATTGAAATAAAATTAAAAAAAAACAAAGTAAGTAATTGAAAAATATTTACGGTACTCGATGTCCTGTGTCTCCAAGTCTACCAAGTCGAGCACTGATTATACAGCTGTGTTGCTGCTACGTTATGCAATTGCTATTTTTTTCTTAGCCGTCGGCAATAAACTGTACGCTGCGCCATTATTATTGTGCGTGTTAACTGTTAATGGTGCAGTATTAGTGAGCACCTGAAGGCTGTAGTGGAAGTGCAACACAGTGCATCGATCTCGTTTGTTTTGCCGATGCATAATAATAAAGAAAAATAATTATATAAAGACCGCCGGCAGCTGATGTCAAATAAGCAATCTCCGACAAATCTGTGCCTATTACGTTGTTTTGTTTTCAATTTTTTTTTTTGTCCGTTTTTACCAACGCGGAAATTCTTTAGGGTTTAACGACGTCAGCATCATTTAGAAATGCTGTGTGAATGCATTTCAAAAACGCATTCGCTGTGTAGGCATTTATTTGCTACGAGTTCCACTACAGTTTTTGATAATAATAATAACAATCATCTACGCACTAATTTTAAAATAACAACCAAAAGGGTAATAAAACGTACGTAATATTATAATTGAGGAAAATACAAATTACAGGTGTATGGTACTTTTAATTCGAGACTATTCAGTTAAACGGGTAAGAGAGATAGGTTTAAAAGGATTTAAAATCTTGGCTATCAAAAAACGTCGATGAAAGGGTCTATGATCTGTTGGTCCGTTAAATTAATAATGTCTGTCTTTTATATGAACTTTTTAAAGATTGAAATTGTTTATTCTTGCGTTAATTATCTCGAAAAATATGTCTACAATAGCAATTTTAAAATTAGTCTCGTTTCAAAACGTATACATTTAAATCACAATGGTTTAAAACAAAAAACGTGCGTTTGGTGAAAAATCCAACTACCAGCGCAACTGCAATACGCGTTTCTCGATTGGTCGTTGAGATTTTTAAATAACAAAAATTTTTTTTTTTGGCCCGAGGACATATTTTATAGTTGTGTCTGTCAAGTTAATATACAACGCGTAGTTTCACAAAATCCAAATCTCCGTGCGTCTACACATAATAATTCTATTATAATATAATATTCAATCATTATAATAATGGCCCATAGTAGACAAAAATAATCGTGTCAATCTTTTAAATAAACAAAATATTCGAATTAGAGTGGAGAGAATACAGTGTCGCGACTCACGGTATCGTATGGCATAAAAGTAAAATGGTAAAAAAAATTAGAAACCATATCGATTACTACTTTACTGGAGAAAAATTGTAATACCCATTTGACCTAATAAAATTATAAAGGCGCAGCGACGGGGGACATTTATTTTTAAACATTCAAAAGTCAAATAACGTTTCATTCACCAGTAGAAGAAAGTTCGGTGCAATAATATAGTAGTATACAGTAAAAATAATAATATGATAATAACAGCTAAATCAACACCGATTGTCCAAAGTCCTCCGAACAGTTAGAAGGTCGTGGTTGTATTTTTTAATTTTTAAAGGAACGAAGTCGTATTCATAGTTGTATAAGATTTTTGTGTAATGTCGATGACGGCTGTCGAACGCGGTGTATGTTATTGATATTAATAGCTAGGGGTTTCGAGAACGCTATTAAGTATATATTTTATATTGACTCGGACCACGATTAATGAATAACATCAAATGACTCGACAACAATCAATCGATGGGCGGTTTTTTTCCACCATCATTTCCATTAATACAATTATTATTATTATTGTAATATTTTATTATATACGCGGTACTATTATTATTTTAATGTGCATTCGTCGAAATCAATAGCACATGGGAGTCCACAGTGTTGGCCGAGTGTAAATTAATATTATAGAGTCGACCGGCGACGATGCCCGACGGCTGTGTTGGAGCATAATGTTATAGTTTTTTTTTCTTAAACAAGTGGAGTACAAGTACTTAAACATAAAATATAATATAGAACGCCGGACGGTCGCGTTTCGGAGAATTCAATAATAACAATTGTTTCCGTCTACCCGGTCCGCATTTAATATTAAGCACGCATACCGCACTGTTTGTACGGTTAACGCGTGTGCATTGTGTTACCTCTATAATGCACTCCAAGTGTGTAGTGTACAAGTCTTCCGTACATCGTACATAATAATATTATGTAGGTAGTTTTTCAGTTTGTTGTATTATCATTGTACCATAATATAGTAGACAGGTACATACACACACACTCGATACCCGAAACATCGTTAAGTTCAATTGAACTTAACGGACGAGTAAGGCGCACTAAGATATCCTCCTTTGAATATGAATCGTATGCGTAATATTGTTGTTTCGGAAAAGCCTATTCAGCGTTTCAAACATTAATAATATGCAAGCAAGTATAGATCACAGAAACGTAGGTATCGTTAACGTCGGCCAGTTGTCGCAAAGTAAAGCAATATATACACGGTGACCCGAACGAACGAGTGAGCTATATATAATATTATAGCTTTTGCCTAGAACAACAGGAGTGTTTTGGCGTTTACTTTTGTTTTGATCCGCGTTGCACAACAGCAGAGGAAATAGGCGTGGACCCTATCACGATTGATACGTACTGATTATTATATTTAATTCATTTGTGTTTTATCCTTTACTGTCGGACGGCATTTCGTAATTTTTTGGACGTATGAAACATTATTTTATGTACTAACAATGACGGTCGCTGTTTTTTTATTTTTAGAACTCCGAGGACGAGTTGCCGGTGTGCGAAAAATGGGCGGTGTGCAGCAAGGTGGACATGTACCAGTGGCCGTGGGTGGAGAGACAGTGCAGGTGTCCTCCGGGAGTGCCGCCGTGCTCGCAAATGCTGTCGCCGGCTGACGGGCACACCATCACCGACAAGACGAGGCAGTTCAAGGTAAATACAAATAAAGGATTTAAAAGCCGTTTGGAAGTATGGAGTACTTACTCCATAATGTCGTATTAATTGCACTACAACGAGCTGGTGTGCCATAATGTTAAATTAATCGTATACATGAGTGAATTTTGAGATGTTAACGGGAGTTTTCTCCTAAAATTAAACCTTATTCATAATTTCCCGGGCAAATTTGATAGTTAACATTAATTTCATCATCATCATGTAGCTTAATGCGCCTTGAAGTTGGGGCTTGTGAAATGCCATTGTGAGATGGTTACATTAAAATTAATTACATTAATCTTGGACAGGGCGACAAAATCTAACTTAAAATTTGGTGTTGGCGTTTACATGTCAACTCAGTAGACTAGGTAGTTTGTTCATTTGGGTTAATCTTAGTCGATACTCAATAGTTTCGTGGTCGGCGCTTGGATAATTAACTTAAATCACAAATTCTGGTTGTGTTATTAAGATTTTTTGATGCATTGGACGATATGGACTGTGTATTGTCGTCACTTAATGGCTTCTAATAACATATGTTTTCTAGTTTACTAGATAGAGAGAAAGAGTATAAATGTTTAATAATATGTCAGATTGTTTTAACTAAATGGTTTTCTTATAATCCGCAGTTGTGTGAGCCCATCAAAATGTTACCGAAATGCCGTTACTTCAGGGACATGGCGTGGACGTTGCGAAGCGAAGGCAATGGTACGCTGCAGACGGTCCACTGTCACTGTCCAAAGGGCTCCGTCGCGTACCTATTGAAACGACAAGCGTACCAAACCGAGTCCAAACAAATAGGCTACCAGTATTCGTTTGCCTGTTCTCCACAAAGCGTGAGTACACTATTATAATGCACTTGCAATTATCATTACAATTTTTTTTATAGCTGCCGTCGAACTTTGGCGGTTGTATTCGTGTTGACTGCTGTTAATTATTCGCCACCCATAACCAACGTTTGTTTTTGTTTGTCCAGAGACTCCGGTGCCAGCGAAAAGAACCTTGCCGGTTGTTTACGGTGCGCAAGAGACAGGAGATGGTGGACGAGGTGAACACCAACACGCTGTGTCAGTGCCCTCAGGAGCACGCGTGCCCGTCTCACCACACCGACGCCGGGGTTATACAGAGCAAGAATTATTCTGAGGAGAACATCAGGACGTACAGCGGATACTGTATGCCATCGCCGTCGGATGACTAATGACGGCGTCGGCCACGAGTCTTCTATTATTATTTTTTTTTATTCTATACCTTTTTTTTGTTTTACCCGAGCGAGGAACGATAAGAGAAAAACGGATTCGTGGTGATTTTTTTAATTCAGCTTTCGTTTTCAAATGCCTATTTGTTTTATTTTATTGAATCAAAAGAAAGCATTAAAAAAAAAAAAAAGAAGGAATCACAAAGTATTTATTATTATTATTAATTTAAATTAATTTTATACCAAAATCATAACGATAAATTTTAATATTAATAAAACAATGTTTTATCGTGTAAATATTTTACTACATCGATAACGGTTTATTATTATATACTTTTTATAAGATGTTCTTGTTATTTAAATGTTTAGAATGTTTTTCTTTTAGACTTTATTAGGACTATTATTATTATTATTATTATTATTTTTGATTTTTTGTATATCAGAAAATTATTTTTTTACCTTTATTGTATCTTATGTAAATAATTATTTTTATTTTTTCAAATATGAGTGATTTTTGTACAATACATTCTATCGATTATTTTTTGCGAAATTTTAAGGACGTTGAACATAAAAAAAAATAATTTTATTAAAATATTTTTAAACGCAAACCGACTTATTCTTTTCATATACATTATCATGCTCGAGTTATTATAATATTCATTGTATAATCATACAAAGACTATAACTAAACACGAGACATTGAATATGTTTAGGTCGACTTTTGTATTTGTTATTTGACACGTGTGTCAAGCCACAACACGAGTATTTTAAGATGAAGCATTATTTGAAGTCGGTTTCTTGTGGATTTTAGCAACAGGCGATTAATGATTACTAATGGAAATTATAAAATAAGTACGGCTCCTTGATTAAAAAATAACAAAGGTTAAATTTATAAAAACATTTATAATAAAAACTAGTTTTCATTGGTCAATTGATTAGGGTGTGCAAGGTTTTAGATTTAGGACACTTATTTTCTTTAAAAATAATTAAAATTAAGTAGCCTTTCTTTTTGGAGACAATTTAGTTAATGTTATTTTACAGTATTAAAATATATTGGATTTTTTAGCCGTTAAGGTAAATTCTAGTGTTTTAATTGACGTATACGTTACCATTTAAGTTTTATCAATGGAAATGAAATGAAGTAATTTTATGGAGTTTTATAAGGCTATATTTAAGAAAATGTAGTTACAAAACATTTCGGTCATGTTAATTAAAATACATGTTTTATTAGAGTGAGGTTCAAAAAAGACGTCAGATGACGATGGTTCCAGCTAGCCACTGAGTTCAGTTAAAGATGTTATTATTATTATTCATACTGCAAATGCACATAAACCACCAGTATTTGTTTTTACAATAAATTTTAGTACCTAAGAAATATAATACATTTTTAAATACAATTCTAATGTTTTTTTACAACATTTTTTTTAACTTATCATTTCTATAATCGTTTTTAAATTTAATAATATTAAATTTAAATATTATTATGTCCAAAGAGACGGATCAAAACATATTAAATAATAACTCTTTAATAATATGTGATGCTGGCTACACAATATACAACATTAAAAATATGTTTTTTAAGGTGTGAAAATTAAGTTTGATGTTTTTCAAAAACATCTCATGGGTCTAAAAGTACTAATTCAAACAAATTTTAATAATAAAATAAATAAAAACTTTCTACTTCTACCTACTTAGTTCCGTATCGAAGCTCAAAACTAATAACTTAGTTACTCAGTCATTGGTAGCACTATGTAATAGCTGTTTGGATATTTTTTTTTGAACTTAAATTTATAGTATAAAACATGGTGGAATAATCTTTAACATTGTATCGAATGTTAAATTATGATTATATTTTACTTTTATACTGTAAACAGTCATTGTTGTAATTTTTAGTGCGATTATTAAAAAAATAACGAGACTGCCTACATGGATTACCAACAACCCTAATAATCTGATAACTTTGTGATTTCTTGGTAAAAATAAACATATTTTTATTCTTCTATTGTATTACGAAACGTGGGCGTTGGCGATTTCTTAAGAAATAACTAAGCACTTAGCTCGTAGCATTTTAGCGCACCATTGCCGTCGATGTTATCTGTATGTGTTTTTTTTTTAATACGTCCATTGTCTTTAGACGTTTTTTTTATTATTTATACGCATGCATTAGTTTCTTACAGGATAATGATCGTTTATTAAAATAAAAGTTCAGACATTATTAAATGATCGCCACATTATTTACTATATTTTATCTTTTTTCAAATAGATAAAAAAAAACCGGACAAATAACATTTAATTTAAATTAAAAATAATTCAACAATTCAAATACTACATTGTTGTATTATTAAATCATAATATAAAAGAATAACATTTAACAATTAAGATCTATAAAAATGATCTTTTTTAATCTACTAGTTACAGGGATATTACCTAGTTGCATTTTTCAAGTATTTAACCACCTTAAAACATTTAGTATAGACAACACAAGTGACATTACTGCACTAGGAATATTCAACCACCATATTTTTTGACCCTTTATTAGATTTTACTTCTTACTTATATTGTATGAACAATACAATAGTAACTCTTTTAATTTAATAAATAAGTATATAGGCCGTAGTATTTGTTATGTTATACAGATTCAAAAGTTGTTACGTAATCGGTAATTCAAAGGTTTTGTTAGAGGTCAATCCTTCAAATTTCAGAACTTCAGCTATTCTTGCTTGCAAATGACCGTAACAATAACTGTGCGACAAAATGAAAGTAGAAAAAAATCGTCATAAAGTAGTAATGTTTGCCAAGTTGATATTTTATAAAGAATATAGTTTATAGTGACAACCCTATACCGGATCACTTAAAACACAAAGTACAATAAAATAATATAATGAGAGATGTACCTTCCCCACTGCCATTGTCACACTTAAAAGTCGATAATATATTCAAGCTTGGTGGTTAATTATTGTCCTGCTATGGGTTGACTACAAAACATTTTAACGGAAACGAGAAAAACACAGCTGTAGTGTCCTAAGTAGAACGAATACTACACGTTCAATAGACCAATTATGTCCAGGAATTTTAGAGACATAATATTTAATATTATGAAGCTAGGTTTTGTAACTAAAAACACTGTGAAACATTTAACCAAATAACGATATTTTTGAAACATTTTCCAGTTAAAATTAAACATTTAAACATTCACACCACAATGTAAATTTATATTTAAATTCATATTTTGAAATTATTGAAGAAAAAAAATTATTTATCAAAAAAATTAGGTCATAATGAGTTGATCTGAAACATAACATTTAGAGAAGTTTGGGATGAAGTGGTTTTTAGAAATTTTAAAACCCGGTTATGCTTGGAGAGCAAAATATAGTAAATAGGGAGTTGAGGAACTAAAATATTTAGTTATGAGGGCGTCGCCTATTTTTAAGGAGTAAAGTATAGGCAATTTTTTACAAAATCATAATTTAAAGGTTAAACTGTGATGTGTAATAATTAGTTCAATAACTAGGACTCTAGGATTTTCATAGTTAATTTATTTTTCGGACTATTACAGCATCCTTAAAAGCGTTTTAATTTTTTTTTTATCTCTACATGTTTAAGCAGACTGAAAATAACTTGCTTAATTTTGGTTTTAGAGTAAAAGCACCCATTATAAAATTTAAATAGAACAATATTCCGGAGGGCAAGACGGTGTGTTTTTTTCATTATTTCAAGTATTACGCTCAATACATAGTTTAGAAATAACGACTATTTTAACATTTTTAAATGACTGTAACTTATCAAAAAATGAATTTAAAAAAAAAACGCACCGTCTTGCCCTTAGGAATATTGTTCTCTTTTAATTTTATAATGGGTGCTTTTACTCTAAAATCAAAATTAATCGAGTTATTTTCAGTCTGCTTAAACATGTTTTTACCACTGAAAATCACCGGTGCGACGCCCTGTTAAGTGAAGTTGATGATGTGGTGATTAAAATAAAGGTAAGTAAATTAGGTAGAAAAACAGGTTGTGTGTTGTTTAGAGTGAAAAGAGAATATTATGGAAGTGGCGAGAACAAAGCAAGTTGAGATTTAGGTGGGAAGCGATAAGTTAGCCAGACAAGGAATAAATATATAAGAGATCGAGGGGTTGCACCCATAGCAGGAAAATGAGACAAAACAGATTGAGATGGGTTAGCATTTTGCGAGAAGTAACGAGAAAATGTAAAACTAGTTGGAGAAATCACGGTAGAGGGACATCAATTTTAGAGGTAGAGGAAGACCTAAGAAAAAGTATAAAATATAAAGTCGTGGAGATGTGCGGAAACGATGAAGAAATGGCAACGGGTAAATATTTGTGGAAAGAGCTGATTTGACTGGCTGACACTATTTGCTATTCGAACAAGACGATATTCGGGTTTTATAAACAGTTGAAAACAATAACACTTTTAAAAAATTAATATTTTTTTTTGTGCTGCATGGATTTGTAACTTCTAGAGAGATATAGCATTAGGTTAGGTTAACTATGATACATTTTATTATGTTTAATAGAATATACTTTGTCAAGCTGGTCAAAATAGTTCTGATCAGAAGAAAAAAATCATCGATAGATGGATTCAAAATATATCTAAACAATGACGTTTGTACTTAATACGTCATTATACGACATAGTTTTTTTTTACGTTAATGTTACCGAAAAATACTGACTCAAATCGTTCTATTTTTAGCCTAGATGTAGAGCTATGGTTATTTTTTTAACTCTTGTCGTCCGTGTACAAATCGTTTCACTATACACGTTTTATTACTGAGTTTTAAGTGTCGTCATCCGTAATATAAGCTAAACGGCAACCAATACACTAGAAGTACACTGTTATAATATGTCGAGAATTTTCTGTTTCCTCCCCGGACAAAAACGATAGTGTTAAAAGATTTAAAGATAGGAAATAATCGAAAGAAAACGATTGCTTTTTTATGAACATCATGATGCATTACTTTTCAATAAAGTGTGCGATTTTGTAGACGGCATAGGAACGGGATAGAATAAAACCGTTACGTATTTTTTTTTATACATAATAAACATTTGGCATTAAGTAAAAAAACAATCAAAATGTATAAACTAAATAGTCAATAATGCCTTCGTTTATATATATATATATTGTAGTGTATGGAAATAAAATAGTAATGTTAGTTCAGATTTGAATACTCAAATAGCGTCCAACCTGATCGGTTAATATTTTTTTAATATTAAAACATTCACTGTCCAATGACCCATGATTGGTAAATGATAAAAAATGAATTTGATAATTACATGCAGACAGTGAACGTGATAAGTGTATTTTACAACAAAGCGACGAAAGGTAGCTGCGACTAAATAATATGTTGAATAATTAAATTGTCGGACGACCGAGACGGAGTCATTGTTTATCAGACATGTCTGGGACAAGAAAAATTATGGGTTTTAATGTTTTTTTTGTAAAGTAAAAATAAAAATATAAAGAATCTTCGTGTGTAAAGTGAGACCGTTAACAATACCTAGTAATTATATTATTATATTACAAATAATTTGAACGGTGAAATTAAATAGTTTATTAGGCATTTAGGGCCTAGGCTCTAAATAGTCGAATTATAATTATAGACAACTTTATGGCTTTCTTTAAAGAAATGGAATACAGGTTTTAGTCAATCAGTGATTGTAAAATAAAATTTCGATATGCTGTCTGCACGTAGGCAAGCTCTAATTGTATATTTGTAGACCGATGATTGCAGGACCAATTATTGATGTTATAATATGCTTTTCGATAGAACGGCTCAATTATTGAAAATGAAAGAATGTTTAGGAAGATATTTTTTTATACATTTATAATACATTTTATACATGAGTGTTACACCTATGTGGATAATGAACTCTTTTAAGTTTAAGCTCAACTGATTTTACTATTAACAATAACATGTTTAATTTTCACTGTATAGAAATTTGTCTAGGAATGGATACATCAGATCTCTGAAGTATAACATTTTTAAGCAAGTATTGTTCGATATAGATTTTAATTGAAAATGAAAAATGCTATTGTATTCTCTGTTGATAATATATGAACATATCTAAAGTGTCAGCAGTCAGAGTAAAACGTTACACGTGGATGCACATTAACGTGTATATATTATGATAATGATCATGAGTCGTACTTATGTTTTATTGATACAAGACACATTTTAATAATCATAGTTGACCCAACTGTTCGACGATGCGTGGAAATCTGAAGTACTAATTTCAAGTTCATCGTCGCCACGAAAACTATGACCACTATATTAATAATATAATATTATATTATATATTAAATAAAGACAAATGCTCAAGTATTCTTTTAGGTAGTCTGAACAATGCTAGGGTTTTATTGCATTCCATAATAATTAAACAGAAACATAAGAGAGGTACACGCTGTTTTATGTGATTGTAAATCTAACAAAATTGATTTTATAAAATTTTCATACAAACAGCTGTTTGAGCAACTTGAACTTTTCGTTAATATAAAATTAAAACTGTTATTGAGGTACTCTCATATACTTTTTTTTACCATCAAAGGCTAACAAAATTATACAACTTTTTTTAAATAATACATTTTTTTTAAATAATATTATTCAGATCATAAAATAAACAAAAATTTACCTGAATAAAACTAGGAAAATTATGGGATTTCAAATAGCATATTCACAACACTACAGGGTGACCTAACTAACGTAAGACACTCATTTTCTCGGAAAATAATGAATATTTTGAGAATTTTTTTTTTTTCTAAACTTTTAGGTACATATTTAACTAAATTTTTCAATATTTAGAATATTTTTATCTTCAACCTTTATATGTAAAACAAGTATAGCATTTGGTTTTTTAAATGGGAACGTATGTTTTTAATTTCATAAATCTGTAGACAAAATTTCTAAAAAAGTTTTAGCGTTTGAAATTCTAATTTTCATCAATCGGTTTTCTACTTATTACGTTGTAAAGATTTGAAATTTTGATCCATATTTATTTGGGATTTCAAAACAGGTAGCATATTAAACACTATTAAATAATATTATCGACCTCGTCGTCTGTCGATAAAACCGATAATCAGATAATAGTAATACTCATTACTTTTTTTTTTATAATATATGGAGATGTGGTTCTTTACCTACTGTCGGAAACCGCGACACCGTATACATGTCTGGTCAATTGTTCACATATCTTATCAGTAAACAACACTTACGACGAAATTTTTTCCTAACCTAACCTACCCATATTTCACGGTATGATTATGATATATTATCATGCCCAAAAAAAGTGCGTGCAACCGGCTGCCGGCAACGTGACTTGCATTGTGTATTCAGAACCCGGAAACGTCCTATACTCCTATGCCGTTTGTTTTGTTAATACATTGAACTATTTAAGTAATGTCAATTGTGTCTATATATTCCCTAATTGTGACTACATTTTATATTGCTCTACAATGCACGATGAAAACTAATAAGCATAATGATTTCATAAGCAAAAACTTGTTTCTACTAGTAATAGTAAACATTTTGTAAATATATTTAGTTGTCAATCAGTGTTATTTAATGACATGGTTAAATGGGCGCCGCATTAAACGCGGAGTAATATATTCATCTTTTTCAAATACATATTATATAACTTTTCAAGGGATGAATAATAATACAATTTTGTTTCAACATTTCTTTTTTGAAAATTATTCTGAATGAAGGTACACTAGTTAAGTACAATAAAAAATATGTGGTGCGTATAGTGAAAATGAGTATACATTAATTTAAAACCAAAATCTTAAAAATATTCAAAAAAACAAAATATATTTCATTTATCAGGTCTTTGTAGGACACTCAGTATATATTAAAACATTCTATTTAAAATTATAATTATTACTAAAAGTATATTGTACAGCAAAATAAATATTGGTAAAAAAAATATTTACATTAGTTTAATAATAATTAAAAGAGCACAAGTGATCAACAGTTGAATTTTCAAATCAATACAACTACTTTTTTTATTTATGTACATTGACTGACTTGATTAAATGACAAATGAAAAAGTTTGATTTATTGTTAGCATGTTATAACCTATATGCATTTATTTGTCAATCATTAATATTTTGAAGAAAATATTTGGTATAAAATGTATGGATGATAGTGAAACACCAAGTTCAATTAATTTTATATTCCATAATCAAATATCCGTTATGCATTAGAAATGCAAAATATGGGTTAGATTACAAAATTTTAAATTAAATTAAATCTGACATTAGATCTACCATAAATAAAAATATTAACCAAATATGAATATATTTGCTTAATTGATAAAAAAAAATATTGCTACATTTTTTTTTAAAGATGATTTCATTCATGTAAGAAACTAGAAAACAAAAGCTACCACATAACATAAAATCTAACTTTTTTCATTTGTTAAGCCACATTAAAAATATGAATAGTCAACTATAATTATAGAGTGACTTCACTAAAAGAAACTAATATTTTTAACATTAAATGGTACTAATAAAAATGCTTATACAAGTTTTTATTTGAGACAAATAATTATGATGTTAAAATTGAACATCTTTATTGCAATCTCGTACGTTAAACATCTTCAAAATATAATTGTTTTGTTATTTTTTATATTAATATATATTTTTTTTTATAGCCTTTAAATATTTATAATATGAGTTCTTTTTGGGCCACATAAAAATAATCGGCGGGCTGTATGCAGCCCGGGGGCCGCTGGTTGAGTATGGTTGTGTTAAATGCTAATATTTTATTCTTCTAAGATTCCAAGTAGAAAGCAATATTTTCTTCATCTAAAAAAAATAATTTAATAATTATTAACTTATATCTCCTAATTTCTATAAAATGCCTAATCTAAAACAATATTATTTTTATTTTGTTCATTTTTCGGTTATATCTACAAAAGACGAATTCAAAATGAAGACGTTGACATAACTGAAAATATACAAAATAACAATTTACTAATAGTAATAGTGTAATATCTATTATTCACAATATACAGTTTTTCAATACTAAAATATTGCACATCTAGACTCTAGTGCATATTGATATTTGAAACATACCTAACTAGTAACTGAATAATCATAAATGACATATTGATATGTAGCTTGATAAACCAATACCGACTATTGTAATCAGTGACAAATTGTACATTAAGGTTTCAAAACATCATTATCATTCCAGTAATCTTCTTAAAAAATGTCCTGCTAAAAAATACAAATTAAAATTTTAATATTTAATATATTGCACTTACAGATTTCTTGCGGTCAGTCATCAACATTTATTCCAGTTAAACTATAATTAACAACTGTTAATTGGCCATATAATAATATTATGTTACGTATAGTATTAAATAAAACAGTAGGTATATTGTATAACTTGGTTGTTATGTTGAGTTTACCAAGTCTTAAATACAAATTTCACTATTACTAATGAGAACTAAATTATAATTATGAAATCATTACATTCATTATAGTTTCAAAATAAATTGTAAAATATATGTCACTAACCACAATTAGACATTTTAAAACACAATATTAGTTTCTTCTTAATACATAAAAAAAACTGTTCACAAATTACGAGTACACGTTGTTTGTCGTTTGACAATTTAAGTTTTACTCATACCATATTATAATGATACTGTGATAATAATATTAACGCTATATTATAATTTTTTTTTTTTTTTTTAATAGCCTTTATTTGCAATATGACGGCTCAACGATTAAAAATATACAATCTGCGATATAATTTACAATGCAGTGAAAATTAATATAATATATTATAATCATACCGTAAAAGTGGTTCAAGGCAAAATCCACATCGCAGTCTACTGATAATACATGTGAACGGATGACGGTTATGTAAGGTATATTTGCTTCCAAACAGGTAGATTAAAAATCGATTGTCCATATAATAATAAAAAAAACTTAGTGCCAGAGTTATTTATGTCTCATTATCGGTGACAGTATTATCGATGGGGTCCAATATTATCATTATTTACTGGCAAATAAAAGTGCTACTGCTGGAAAACCGATCAAATATTGATTTGAATTTCAAAACTTTACTAAGTCACAGAAAACGAACAGATAGTTGAAAATTGAAAATTCAAACGCTAACATATTTTAAAAAAAAATTGTCTGCATACTTATGGAATTAAAAACATATGTTTCCATTTGAAAAACCAAATGCGATACTTGTTTTACATATAAAGGTTGAAGATAAAAATATTCTAAATATTGAAAAATGTAGTAAAATATGTACCTAAAAGTTAAGAAAAAAAAAAATTCTCATAATATTCATATTTTCCGAGAAAATGAGTGTCTTACGTTAGTTGGATCACCCTGTGTATACAGTGTATTATAATTTATATACATTCTACACCTAGGGTAACGGCACCAGCGATTGCCACTACCCCAACTTTTGGAAATATAGTGTTTTTTTAAATTTTTATATCAGATAGAATATCAAAATATTTTATATCGTTGAGATGATTTTTTTAAACAATATTCATTGAAAAAAATGTAAAATTTGTAAAACAAATGCATGTAATTTAAAAAACACTGCATTGCCAAACACTGGATCATAATGTCAATCACTGGTGCCGTTATCCTATATATGTGGGTCATCTTCAACATTTGATGGATCAGTTATTTTATTTTTATAAAATAGTTAATTTAACATAAAAAGTTGTAAATAAAACTTTATTATATTATTTAATTATCGAACTTAATTTTTAATGTTAAAGTGTATATATTCTTTAAAGGGTAACTTCTTATAGTTATATAGTAACGTATAAAATATACAATTTACTTAATAAAACAATTATGATGTAACGAAAATGATGACTGATTAACAACCATTAGTCCATGTACTAGTTTATATTAAGATTAATATAAAGAAGGAAGTGCGGCTAAGTAGAGTACGTGGTAAAAACAATGTTACAGTTTATCTAGTTATCATTGCCAGTACTATTAGTTTAAAAGCTTATCGACTAGTCATTATTTTCATTAAAGTATGTAGTTTTTAATAAGTAAATCAAATAGGTTTTATAACTAAGTGAATTTCAAAAGTTACCCTCTAAATTCTAAAACTTAAAAATAATATGTTAGTTTAAAATTTAAAAACTTGTTTTGATCATTTAATACAAAAATGTAAAATATTGATTATTTTTCAAATTCATCTATGAGTTCTTTGGCTACCTCGTTAGATTAGGTTATGGAAACAGTATTTTGTATTTAGATAATTGTGCTTCAAATAATAAAAAATTCATTCAAATTTTATTTATAATATTACAAGAAATATTGCATTTTTAAATGAAAAACAGTTTCCGACATATTAAGTAAATAGGGCAACAAACATTCATCTTTTTACAGAATTGAAATTGAAATAGCTAAAGTGTCACAATTTCATCGCTATGAACGCATTTTTAACCACCAACAATGACTTTAACTCATTAAGAAATAATGTTATACTTTAAAAGTAATACCCCGAATCTAATAGAAATTAATTTGAAAATAAATTTGTTGTACTTAAACAGTAAACTTGGCTGTCAGTGCCGTGTCTTACTCTTGAGGTGTTTTTTTTTACGGGAAATACTCGGATTGTGAGTAGGTACTAACACGGTTTCGCGTGCAAACCGCCATCTTTTTGCATTGACGGTTTAACGTGGTCAGTGCAGACCAGTAACGGTAACTAAGTAGGGGCGAGTGTCCGTTCTACATTCGTGGACAAAATACACAATATTATTAATATTTGAAGAAAAAAAGCTAGTTCTTTGATAATTACTTGTGGGCCGCAAACAGATGATACAGTATTATCATTTGTTCATTTTTTTTTTTTTTTTTTTGAAAATATTTTTGCTACCAATTCGCGGTTTGAAAAAACCACTGTCGTCGGCGGCGCCGGCCGCATAATATGAAAGTACCACCGTTGGTGAATCCGGAATTCGTTTTTCTTCTTGAACAACGTCATTAAAACATACCATTCAAATGCGGTTCGCGTGGCGTTAAGCTCTTCAGAACAAGTGTGACAATTTTTACGGATCACTAACGTTTTTTTTTTAAGCGCGGCAACCCACACGTGATAGTACACATGACATACACGTTTCAGCTGCAGTGCAAAATGATTGTTCACCGACGACGCGCCAATCAATTTTTTTAAAGATTCAATTTCCAATGTTATTTTTTTTCGCAAATATTCTAATTGAAAATAACCTCAAGGGTTAACCCTTAGCTTGACATTGTATCTTTAAGGATACACACATTTTATTCGTTTAACTTTCCATAACCAACTTTTTTTTTTTTTCCTCACATGCATCCATAGAATACCAGGGGGGGGGGGTAATAACCAACCTGAAAAGTATTATTGTTTTAATTATTTTTGATATTTAAAAATTAGCCATTGCCAAGTATTCTAATAACTATTATAAAAAAGAAAATGTATTTAATAATTTAAAAAAATATATATTTATGTGGTTTCTCTCAAACAGAATAATATATCGATATTGAAATACCACATAATATGTGCTCTGTATGTGTTATTATAATATATACACTAGTAGATACATATTACTTTGGAAAATTGTGTTATGTTTAGGTTATAGACATATATAAGTGATATAATTATAGAGATTATTTTGCATATTTTACGTTTTAATTTATTTTAATGTAATGGTTTTTAATTTGCACGTTTGAAAACTCAAATTATAATATACTTTTTCCATGATTTTAGAAGTATAGAATTCAAGTCTCAATGTTATAAGTTACAACAGACATTTGTTGTTTTAGTTGTTTTAAAAACATTTGTATATTATTTTATGGAGTTTTTCTAGTAAGGTAAAAGTATATTGTCTGTTTTTTATTTAGTGCATATAACGAAACCATTTTGTGTATACAAATCTGAGCCCTACTAATAATCTGTAAAGCATAAATATGGAACTTAGAACTTTCAACTAAATTTACGGGTGCATCAACTATTGGGAAATCTATGCAGAAAACAAAAAACTAAATCGCTGTACATAATAAATGTAGAGCTTTTAACTTCACGTGTACGCGAAAATACGTGTAACACGTAGTTCAGCAACAATGTTGTCATCTTCAGCGCTAACGGCAGATTAATATGTAGGTAATAATTAAAAGTAACAAATCATAATATATTAACATCACTTTCCCTTGTATTATTATCACAAATATTATTATATTAAGTTTTTTTAACACACTAGTAGGGAATTTTCTGGCTAATTTCCAAGATCAATCACTAAATATTGATGCCACACGATGGTAGAAGTACGAGCCGTGTTTTAATGATAACGACGAATGTTCGTGAAACGTGAATTTTCGTGGAGAATTCATGTTCAGTTAAAAAAACACAAATTCAAGTAACTAATCGAGAGATCTAATTATTGTAACGTGTTGCTTGGCTAGTTGGCTAGGCTAGGCCGAAACGACAGTCGATAGGGTTAAATTAGTGGACCCGAAGACGGGACGGATGGCTAGGCCGTATCTACACTTAAATATCCCTAAAGTCTCCTTTGTATATTTGCTATATCGCCTGAGGAGCTTAACAGGCGATCGTTAAATGTGACCGTTACATTATAATGGCTCCTCCAGGCGACAACTGACAGTAGCCAGAAAACCGGACGTCCGATTATAATAACACAATAATATATGTCGCGATGACCGTATAGAAAAACGAGTTAATGACATTACCTATCACAATTTCAACGGCTAATCGAACGGGTCGTGTCCACATAGTCAGAGCTATTATATGTATATCGTTCTCAATTCGCATTCCTTAAGTGTACGACATGCACGTACTGCCGTCTAGTCACCCGCAGATAGACAATCTGTTTTTATATTCAATACTATTATCATTAAAATACGTCTCGTACTTACATTGCCGTATGGTATCAATTAATGTATGATCTTGAAAATTAGCCGGAAAATTCAGTACGAGTGCGTTAAAAAACATAATTTAGTTTGTAGTTAGTAATATTTGTGACAATAGAAGGGAAAGTGATGTTTTGTTACGTTTAGTTATGACTTGTTATATATTAAACAGAAACATTAGCTGTTATCAAATACCAGAAAAACTATAAGTTAAAATATAGAAAACTAAAAAGTTTGATTGTTAGTTAGTTAAATTATTTTTTAGTAATGATATTATAAATGGCGTTCAATAATAATTAATATTGCTAGTTTCTAGAGTAATGATGACTTTGGACATCAATTTGAATATTTTAAGCAAAGTAATTATCATTGTAGTTTTCAATTTGTTTAATAATTTTTCCTTCTTAAAAAAATTAAAAAACTAACCTTTTTTTCCGATGCTCGCAACCTTCAAAAATCATTTTAAAATTCTGAAATAATAGGAAAATTGTTTTTTTCCCCAAGTAACATAATGTCACAAAAAAAAATTGTTTTGGTCCACCCTAACATACATTGTTTAGTATTTGAGTTCGAAACCGTTTAGCCATGCTGAAGACCAGAAAATGTTAACTAATTATTAAAATTTCGTTCATTGAACTATATCAAACGCAAAACGCAGTCTTACGACTGACAAGTACAATATTATTTATATTATAATTTCATCATTCACTACGACGCGCCATTCGTTCCTAT